TTTTTTTTCTTTAATTTAAAGTTACAATATGTAAAATTAACAATACGGTTACTCACTAAATTTCTTAAATGAGGGGTACAATCTAGAGATATGACATGTCACGGGGTACGCTAATGAAAAAAGGTTGGGAACCACTGAGTTAGATAAATGACCGGCACTATGCGATTACTAAAGGAAAAGTATGATGTATAGGTGCAAGGCACTACTAATTTGAAGATGGAGAGCATATACAGTACTTTAAATTAAACGAGTAATTATTGTCGCATCGTCACAATGCCGGGATTTAATTTTTACTCGTATTTTTAATTTATTTTATTTAACGAAAATATATGTAAGTGCGGCCCTATAATTTTGAAAATAAGGCTTAACAATTCCTTTTTCTGAATTTACTTACATTCTGAAAGGTCTTAAGATATATTTAAAAGTCGATTTACGTATCGGTTTTATATACTGTTTCGTACGCACTAGCCCGTTTTCCGTCCAAATCCTAGCCGCAGTGTTCCTAGTGAGCAAAAATGGTAGTAGACAGAAAATTCTGATCCCCAACCGTATTATCTAGTAATATTGGACACACTGGTCGCTTTTCCTTGTCAAGCAGCTAAGTAAACAAACCAATGACAACGGAACGCTACCACTACCTTCTAGCAATTGTAGTTCTGTTGTAGCTCTCCGTGCCACAATCGTATAATCTGTGGATGTCGAGTTTTAGTGAGCATAAGTTACATTTATCCGTCGTTAGTAATCTGTGGGAGTATAAAAACTGATTGATTAGTAGTGTATTAGTCCGGCTCTAGTAATTTATAGTTTCACTAACATAGACTATGTTAGCTAATGAAGCTGTAAATTACTGGTAACTGGTCACACCAGAGAAATTGTCTTTTTTCTAGGATTGTTGCCACCGCGTCTCTTTTGCACCCTGTTATCCTTTGTATTGATATTATTGGTCAAGGGGTATACCGGTGTGTTATGTTTTGTGACGATTGTTGGGGTCGTACGAGTTTTGGCTATCCTGTAGACTGTTTCGTTGATGGTGATCCCTTTGTGGGCGAGGATCCAAACAAGCACCAAGCGAGGGTCTCCGATGTGACCATTGTATATGTGATTGTAAATGATGCTAATGATAGTGCGAATGCTGAAGATAGTGGGAAAGATAGTGGGATGCTAATGATAGTGGGATAGCGGTTAAGGGGCTTTAGGACTCTAGTCTGCTACGTGAGAAGTTGTCGCTAAAATATGAAAACAAATATCCCGTGGACTATATTAGAAACAGTTTAATATCGGCCGTCGATTTAAAGCGAGAAATAAAATTTACGTTCAAGAGTTTAAAAAGTGTTTTTCTCGCGTTTTACTATACAATTATTACTAATTCTACCGTAAACTTTCTGTTGCTGGAACAAAACGAATGACAAGTTTCAAAATACGAATAAAATAGAAATTGTCGGGCTCTGAAATTTTCATCTTCCATTTTATTTTATTTGTTTGTGAATTGCGACGCTTCCGACGTTTATTTATTTGTTACGTACTGTATGTGCGGGATTGGCATCGACATTTTGTAATATATTTTAGAAAAGTGTGATATCAAGCGTTTATTTTGAAAATTAATTTCAATTTTTAATTTTTAAACTACTCCTTTAACGGAAAGATTAGCAACGACTCAAACAAAATAATAATTATTAGAACAGAGCATATTGCATTTGAACTTAATTCACTCCGATTCAAATGCATTGTACGCCGTTATGTCTAATTAAGTTCGTCTTCCCGTCTTCCTGTCTTCCTACATTAAGAAAATTTTTATTTTTCTTTCTATAAAATAATATAATATATTATAATCTTAATACAGCCGTCCGAAGGAGGAAAAACGGACGAAACTAAGCATTTTAGAAATGAAAACATTTTCGAGAGCAATAATAAACAATAAATTATTTATAATTATTATTTCTGAAATTTTAACGTAAAATATTAATATGCATTCGTAAGGGTGATAACTTTTAACGAAAAATGAAATTTATAACTCCTTGTGAAAAAATAACAGGTGGCAATTATTGCTTAAAAATGAAGTTTAGGTTGGCAACACTGTTAATTGTTGTCATCTGTTTTTATGTCGATGGTCGATGTTTGAAAAGAATAGTTTTTAGTAAATCGAACGAGAAGAAATGAATGATGGCCGACCAAGAGAACGAAGAAACAGAACCAAATGAAGTAGAAGAAAACACTTCTCCCGTCGAAAATGGCAACAAAGAACAGAAGGATAAACAAGCGAATATCTCAACTGACAAAAGTAAATAATTTATAAGTCAAATTTCAAATTCTATACATATTTGCATTATGGTCTATCCCAAGAAACACAAAAAAATGATAAGATTCGAGCTCTGAATGAGGGGTTTTGCACACCCCAGAATTGTAGACCCCTACCCTATACGAGCGAAAAAAGTCGTGCCGTCAAAGGAACCATACTTGTTATGGTACGGGTGACCCTTTGCGAGATATTCGTTTCCAAAGGTTTGTTTTTAACATGTATCGGTATACTGCTCGTTCTCCGTGCTCTTCATCATTGGAGCTCGCCATCGCTTGCCTCTGCTGACGTTTTGCCTGTAGTCGTACGCTTTTGTGCCGGTGCCTGGGTGGGAGTGGACCCCTGCCCCTCATAAAACTATATAATGTCCGGTACTCACCAACGTGGAGCAGGCTATGTGGTCACGTGGGATAAATAGTAAATGCTTGGAGGAGCGACACGATTCGCAGTCTTGCATGATATGATTTCGAGGGATTGTATCTTGCCAAGGGTTGCCTGTAAAGGTATGGTTCCTGTGACTTTTTTCTCCCATGGGTCTCTAATAAGGTCCCGACAGTCTTCTTCGGAGGTTGAATTGTACCTAAAAATTTAGGTAATGAAAACTTACTTGTGGTTTATTGACTTTTTAAGGTGGAATTTCATACTTTGTTTTAATTAAACTTAAATTTGTTAATACTATAACAGACAAAATATTCTGTAAACAAATTTAATTTGCATTTTTGGTTGAATCTCAAATTTTCTATTTAATATGTTGGATTTGACTGTAAAATAGCGGCATGTTGGGATTTAAATTTGAAATTGTGTTCTGTATGTCAGACTGCATCCGGTCGAAGGGTGTCTTGCCTGGTAAAGTGGCTTTGGTGGGACCAGATGAAAACTGGCAAAGTGGCCCATTTTGCTAGAAATGGAATGCATCTTCGGTTTGGGCGTTCGGCCGCTTTGCCGGACATATCGCTCAGAATCTTGCAGTTCAAAAAAAGAACGAAAAGAATGTTCTGCACTATGTTGCTGGCCAGAAACTGCGTCGACTTTCTGAAAGATCGCGAGTTTTATTCCAATCCAAATCGTCATAATTTTCATGAATGATGTTGGAATGTTATTCATCTCTCTTGTCTAAACTGGCTGACTTCATTTATTGTAACTACTAGTCTGTTTATTATTAGATATGTTTTTTTGTACAAAATTCTAAAGAAAGTTAAATTAAGTAATAAATTATTTTCAACTGAAATCAAATTTATTGACATATAGAATAAATTGGAAAACTGTAGATTACAAAAATATGCTAGTAAGAAAGAGTATGGAGTCTACCTGTTTGTCTCTCCCCGCATTTGTATTTATAATATAACAGCTATAATATACTTTGAATAATTTATATTATGTTATGATTCTCTTTACTAAAGTTAGAAATTAATTATAGTTTACAAATTTAGATCAATTTTGACTTTTTGAGTTAGAATTCCATATTCGGATATAGAAGACATTTAAATTTATTAAATTAAATGCTATAAGTTATAAATATTTTATTAACATATATTATGAAAATAAAACAATATTGAATGATATTGAACAGGGTTTTTTGTTCTGAGAATTATTTATATGGCAGCTACTCATCAGCAATTTGCTTTTGTTATTTTCTTAATTTTATGAATAACAAAAATATGAAAAATATAAAATAAAAATAGTATAATGTGTTATTTTGTAATAGAGTAAAAAATAAATGGAATTGTTGGGATAAATTTTATTATACAACACACAGAAACTTTCACACTTTCAAAGTAAGATCCTTTTGCACCTGCACACTTTTGTTAGTACTTATACCACTTGTCAAAATAGTTCTGGAAACTATTTTTTCATGTCTAATGGCTTTTCTCATTGTGGCTTCCATTCTGTTGGTTATTAGAATCTGTATCTCTTCAACTTTTCTTCTATCTTAGGCAATAGAAAAAAATCAAGGAAGTGAGATGGGAAAATACTGTTACACCCTTCTTGTATTACAGATATTTGCTGACCAGAAATGTCTACTGGAAGCCACAGCATTTAAAGCCCTTAAAAGATGTGACAAAAACATGGCTTCTGCTTCTATTTTGACAAGAGTTTGGATGCTATCATAAGTATTTAGGTGGAGAAGTTGCTTTTTTTCATTTATTTTCAAAGTATTTACAGTCAAACCTGGGTTTTCAAACAACTCACTTTTTGAACAAATCAGTTCATGAACGGAATTTCAAATTCTTAATTTCACCCATTGCCAAACAAGCTACTTGGCAAGAGCTTAGCCAGAGCTCTCTATACTTCCTATGTTAAAGAAAGATGACAGCCTGAATAGTTAACAAGACTACAGATTTGAACTTATCGGCATTGAGATCACCTTGCGACATTAGATATCATGACATAAATCATCAATGACATTGCTGTTTAACTTAGATTTCAATGCGCATGTGGAAAGATACTACTAATATTTTTTGATATGCAAGTGATTTTAAATCTAATTAATTAATTAATAAAAACTGTATTAATTGACAAGCATACCCTCAGCAGTAATGTAAATCAAATACACCACCTTATTTTGCCAAGGAAAACATTTAATAATCATGAATGTTTTTAATTGTTTTAGTGTTAATTGACATTCATATAATAAATGGTATCCAAGAATTTCATGTTTAAAGGTGATTAAGTCAAATTAAATAACAAAAATTTATTATATATAATACTGTATTATATTATATATAATATTACATTGCATTTGTGGGCATTTTATGCATAAAATAAAGCTAAAAACATTTAAAAAAAAAAAGGCTTCATTATTAGGATCAGATACAGCTTAATTCATTTTATACTGTTTCTTATAGGAAGTTTTGTTTTGGTTTTAGTACAATTTTTAGGAACAAATTATGTTTAAAAACCAAGGTTTGACTGTAAATACTTTTACCATTAATGTAATAAAAAAATTATATTGAAAATTCAATATACTGTATTTTTGACTCCACCATATATTTCTATTTACATCATGGATGCACAGACCGCGGCCCGCGGGCCGCATGCGNTAATGCATTTCTCAACATTTCAAAGTTTCCTGGGTTCAAAAATGTAAAAATCTGGGAGGTTATGTTTTGACTGATCACCATACTTTCTCTCTTATATATAAGAGTCAGGAAAGTAAAAATGTACATTTTATAACAGTTTTATTAACTATTGCACAGCATTACTTCTATATTTGGTAATTTCTTCTCTGTAATTTTTAAATTTGTTTTATTGTTTTAAAATTTTCTTATATTAAAAATATTTTAATTAATGATAATTTTATGTTTTTCTGTGATTTATGAAATCTATTTATTATTATTATTATTGTTTTCTCTTTCAAAGTTAACATTTTACTGAAAGCTACAGCAGATGCTCCAATCATGAAAAAAAAGAAGTGGGCCGTAGAATCGACACACAAGATAGGCTGGATTATTGAATTTATTCGTCGATACTTAAAATTAGATGAATCTGAATCATTGGTAAATATTTTTATTCTTTACAATTATAATTATGAAAAATATCTATAATATAGTGATAGACAGCACGCTAATAATTTGTTACAAAAACTTTTACCATATAAGCGTTAATCTTAATACGTATATACTTCTGGCGGCCGGCCCGCTATCAGTTCATGATTTGCCCGAGTAGCCCCTAGTCTTCATAAGTCTGTGCAACCATGATTTACATGATGATTAGTGTTTTTATTATACAACTAGCTTACCCGTCATGCATTGCTGCGATCTCAGAAGAAAGGAAATTGAAGCAAACTCGTTATGATAAAATTCAATTTTATTATATATAATATTACATTGCATTTGTGGGCATTTTATGCATAAAATAAAGCTAAAAACATTTAAAAAAAAAAAGGCTTCATTATTAGGATCAGATACAGCTTAATTCATTTTATACTGTTTCTTATAGGAAGTTTTGTTTTGGTTTTAGTACAATTTTTAGGAACAAATTATGTTTAAAAACCAAGGTTTGACTGTAAATACTTTTACCATTAATGTAATAAAAAAATTATATTGAAAATTCAATATACTGTATTTTTGACTCCACCATATATTTCTATTTACATCATGGATGCACAGACCGCGGCCCGCGGGCCGCATGCGNCAAAAAACAAAAATTATTTACTGTATCATAACAAGTGCAAGTTAATTTGAAATTTTGACTATTTAACACTGAGAATATTACATTATTACTAAAGAAACACAAATTTATTATAAGGGGTTAAATATTTCATAGCTATTTTGCACAAATTAGGAAAAAGTTCTTTTGAACTTCTCCATAAAAATAGGTCACTGTCTTTAAGGGGTAAATGTAAATATGTTTCTAATTCTTGATCGAAACGTTTGTTCGTTTCTTTCGTTTTTTTCTTTCTTTTTAGAAACGTGCTATTCTTCATTCTTTCGTTTACCAGAAGCTAATTCATCAAATAAATCAGAAAAACTTAGAGATTCATCTCCATCTTGATCATCTCCAGAAGTATAAGCTTCAGAATTTAATTCTTATTGAGATTTTGAATTATCAACATCATCTATGCTATCAATTGCCCATATTTTTATTTCTTCTACTATATCTTCTTTTTGAAATTTCATTTTGAATTTTGGATCTAATAAAGATGACAAGCATAAAGATTTGTTTTCTATATATGCTGAAAATTAGTATTGTAACGAATAGTATATTCGGCCTCAGGCCGAATACCGAATAGTAACCGAATATTCGTTACACTATTAATATTTATACTTTCTGCAAAACAACCTTCTACTAGTATTACTATAATTGGAGGTGGCTCCTTTGGTTACAAAGATTGGTATATTTCTCAGCATGATGAAACTCCTGCATATTATAGCCACATATGGTGTAACACTTCACTCAAACATTCTTTGAATGATAGATTGGCTATGGTAGTCCTCATTCCTTGGCAACCCAGGTCTCTAAACTTAACTTTTAGAGTTTAGTTTTTGGAGTGGATGAAAAGGAAAATACACATAATCACAAACTGCTTGCTGGCATTATGAATAATGTTGTGTAATATCAAAGAACACCATAACAACCTCAAAAGAACAACACTCACTATTACAAGTTGCAAAGTGTATTGAGGTTGCTGGTGGCATTTTCAAACCATGCCTGCAAACTGTACATTCTTTATAAATTATTGAATGTCAATGAGTTATATTTTGTGTTATTCATATAGTTAATAAATAAAAATAGTAAGTCATTTCTAATATTTTAATACCTGCCCTAATGTCAGTGCCAGTTTTAAGCTACTGTATCTCCACATGTATTCTGAATTTGAAACATATTTATATGAACTTTTTTTTTACTTAGAATGATCAATACAACAACCATTCAACTTGTTTACTATTTCTCTTGACACTTCATACATTTTAGTATTTTCAATATATCTTTGAAACATGTAATTCTTTCATTGGAGAAGCAACTCTGAATACAAGTTTTAGGTGTTTGTTTTCAACCTTTCTTTTTTCCTGCATTAATTAGAACAATTTTCTACAAAATGGAAACTTACCAAAACAGAAAATTCTGGTCAGTGCCATTTTAGACAGGTTTATTTAAGAAGTGAACATAAAATTTAAATAGTTCTGTTGTATTCATTTTTTCTTAGTAACAATGAGTCAGTCTGGAAATGTGTGTTAAGAATTCAATTGATAAAATTTATTAATTTTTTTTTTTTATAAACATTTATGATCTGTTTTTAAAATGTACATTTTGATCTGAGAATGTCATAGATCATAAATTTACATTTATGATCTACAACATTCTCATCAAAAAGTCAAGTCAGATTTTTTATATGGTAACAGGTTTATCTAACTCTGTAGACATAAAATGAATTTTATGTCTACAGAGAATAGAAGTTCTTATTTATAATTTAAAAATTTTTCAAAAATATTTATCTCCATTTATAACTAGTTACATATTGTATTCAAACAAATTTAAACCTAGTTATATAGTTATAGTAGTTATATCTAATGAAACTGCTCTAATTTTTTTCCATCATAAAATATTCCTTATCTGTAACGTGTAAAAACAAAAACAAATATAGTCTCTGCTTAAAACTTATCATGCAGAACATTAAGTGGCTTCTAAGAAGCTGAGTCATAGTTTAATGAGTACATTTATTGTGCAATTAACTGCTACACATATTAAGATAATGTTGAATTTTAGTATTACTAAATATTTCATTGACATAGTTGTGAGAAGTTTCTTGGTTTTTGAAGAAAAAATTGGTAAATACATAATCAGAACTTTATTAGTCAATGAGGTAAATATTTTAATAGATGCTTAAATGTTCTATATGAAAAATTAAACAAAGCATTATGTTAGAGTCTATTATATTTAATACAGCTATTTTCCTTTTTACAATAAACAGATTAGGAAGAACTTTCAACTTTAAGTAAAAAAAATGTTTTTAAGACAAATTTACGAGTTAAAATAACAATAATACAATTTTGCTTAGTCCATTTTTGTCATGATATTCTAAATCTACAGCTATTGAATGATAAATGCTTTCAAAAAACTTTTAAGCCTGAACTACACTAAAAAATTCTATTTAAATTATTTCACAATAATCTATGTATATGTATTTTGTGAATAGTAATACAGTAGTACCTCAGGATATGAAATTAATCTGTTTCTAAACTGAGATTGTATCATGAAAATGCCATAAGGTAAATTATTTTTCTCCATATGATTACATGCAAAACCAAATGATCCATTTCAATACGAAAAACACACTCAAATTAAAGCTAAGTAATACATTGAAAAAAAAAACTTTAGTAAGAGAAAACACTGAAAAATGCATTTTGTAGTTGTAAATGTATAAATAACTTAAAAATAATTTAACATTAATTTTTTTATCTTTTCTGTTTTATATATATATATTTCTTTTTATTTTTTATTCACTGCTTTTTGCTTTCTTTCCTTCATTTCCACCAACACTTTCACTGGATAGAGGTCGCTTGGTAAAATATCCATCCAAAGAGGTTTGGCTTTGCCTACTTTTTAAAATGTTTCTAAAATGACTTAGACAAATGTCATTAAACTGAGCAGCAATATAGGGCAAATCTTTTTTGGGATGTTTTTTTTCAATAAAATCAGTCACTTTCTGATAATACCTCAAGATTTCTTTTATCGAGCGAGATCCTTCCACGAGGAAGCAAACACGCAGACTGAGACTGATGAACAGAAGGAACACATGATTATGGTGGTGGCACTGCAAACTAATGTAATGTCACATGGTCAGTTTTTGTTCATACCATGGAGCAAAAATATGTTCAAATTTCACATCGTATCCTGAAAATTCCGTATCCTGAGGTACTACTGTATCAAAAAACATTGTCACAAATAAAATTGTAATGAAAGTAACTAATGCAATATCAGATCATCAATAAAACAATTATTTATTATTTATGATAATGATATCATGTTCAAACTCTCATGTTTTTTGGATTGAGGCGTATTAATGATAAGTGGCATAAAAATGATGAATTGCAGATGCCTTCATATTTTATATTACATTGTTTAGGATGTATGGTTTTACATTTAAAATATGATTATTATCCAGTTCACTTTTAAATACAAAATACAGATGTCCATTACATTTCTAAGGATAGTGTTGTGTGTGTGTGTGTGTGTGTGTGTGTGTAATGGAAGTCATACATTTTAAGTCCATGTCCTACATTGTCCTGCTGGGATGCTTAAATGTCTCACTTTCTGCTCAGAGAATAAAAATACAAGAAAATAAGCTCAACAAGTAGACCTCATTGCCATCTGACGACCCATCTATAATGTACAGTACATCTATGTTTACAGCAAGCTATACATTGTAGTGGTACATGCTAAAATATATTGCCTCACCAGAAGGGAATGAGCTTCTGTTAGCAGATTTCCAGGAACAATTTATTTCCATGCTAAGTGAGCAGCATGTGAATGAGGAACTTGAAACTAAAGGTGTGTCAATAAAACAGTGTAAAGGGATGTTTTAAATTTAACACATGGGCAAACCTGGCATTTGCCAGGGGTCTCAAAATGACATTATACAGTAAAATTCAATTAAGATGTTCCCACATAAAATGTTTTCCTGCCCAAGTTGATTCAAATTCTGCAGTCTTATCATTTTACCCATAAGACACGTGTTAAAAATTTCTACATAATATGCATGAGATGTTACAAAATATCAGTCCCGTGAAACAATTTTTATCCCTTAAAATGATCAGACCATTGACCAATAGTGTTTTCAAAAGCTGCATGGACAGGAATCCTGTAGTTTCTAAAGAAGGGTGGTGTAACATACGATATTATTGAAATAGAGAATTAATACTGAAACTTATGAAGTTAATTAGCTTGACAACCAATGATAATGAACTTTAGAGTTGAAATTTTGAAAATTTAGATTACAAATGAAATTTGTTAAGTTTGATTCCAGTGTTGATTTTCCAACTCATTTAACATTTGG